GCAGGGGGGGCACAGTGACCCCCCAGCAGGGCACAGTGACCCCCCCCAGCAGGGCAGGGGTCCCGGGGGGCACACAGTGACCCCCCCCCAGCAGGGCAGGGGTCCCGGGGGGCACACAGTGACCCCCCCTCCCGGCTGGGGGACACTTTGGGGGTGTCCCTGTGCCCAACCCCACGGCAGAGATGAAGCCACAATTGCGGGGGTGGGGGGGACGTTCAGGATTTAAGGGATCAGAATTCGGGGGTTCAGAAGTCTTGGTCCTCAGAGTCAGCGGGCGGGGGGGGCTCGTCGCGGCCCCCCCACACGAAGCGGTAATTGTCCTCCAGCGCCTGCTGCCGCCGCCGCTCCTTCTGCGCCTCCTCCGTGCCCTGCACCTGAGGAGGGGGGGGCAAATCAGTGCCCCCCCTTCACCTCTGTGCCCCCCGAACCCCGCTTTTCCCTCCTCAGCCCCTCCCCAGTGCCTCAGTTTCCACCCCGTTCCTCAGTGATGCCCCCCGCCTCAGTTCCAGCCCGTGCCTCAGTTTCCCCCACCTCAGCTGTGTCCCTGGTTTCCCCCCAGCACCATCATTTCCTCACCCCCCCGAGCCTCAGTTGCGCCCCCGCCCCTCGCAGCCCCTCCCCGCGCCCCCGCACCAGGATGCTGAGGAAAATCTCCTTCAGGCTCCGGGAATCCTCCTCCGACAGCCACTGCGCCGCCTCCTCCTCCTCGCCCCCCGACGACGACGCCGTCACGATCTTGATCTCGATCTTCCCTGGGGTGGAGGGGGGCCCGGGGGGGTGTTGATTTGGGGCTGGGGGCTCCCCGCTGCTGTCCCCCCCCCCACCCCGGCCGGAGCCCTCCCTACCTTCAGCCCGCAGCCCTTCCTTGGCCAGCAACTCCCGCACCTCGTTCTCCACCTGCGGCAGCCGCGGGGGGCTCTGGCTTTCCCTGGGGGGCTCCCGATGCTCCCGGGGCGGCTCCCGATGCTCCCGATCCCCCCGCGGGGGTTGCCGAGGCTCCGGTTCCTGGGGCGAGTCGCGGCTCCCGGCGCTGCCCACCCGCACCCGCCCGTCCTTGGGGCGCCGGGGGCTGCCCTTCCTCGCCTCCTCCTCCTCCTCCTCCTCCTCCTGCTGCTGCTGCTGCTCGTCCCTGCGCCCCCCGCGGGGGTCGCGGCGGGGCTCGGCCCCGTCCAGCCGCTCCATCAGCCGGCTCAGGGTGGACGCCAGGGTGCGGCTGGCGCGGCTCCGGTCGAACTCGCCCTTCAGCCCCTCGGTCTCCAGCTCATCCTCCACCTGCAGCACGGGGGGCTCAGGGTGGGCTCAGGGTGGGCTCAGGGTGGGCTCAGGGGGGGCTCCCCAGCCCGCACCCAGAGCAGCTGGCCCACACAGGATGTCCTCGGGCTGTCCCCGGCTCTGTCCTCAGCACGGCCAGGGGGTCCCAACCCTCCCAGGGGCTCCCCTGCGCAGCCAGGGGGGTCCCAACGCAGTCAGGGGGGCTCCAGCACAGCTGGGAGGGGGTCCCAATGCCCCTGTGGGGGTCCCAGTGCCCCCGTGGGGGTCCCAGATCCGCTGTGGGGGTCCCAGCGACCCTATGGGGGTCCCAGACCAGTCAGGGGGTCCCAGCGCCCCTGTGAGGGTCCCAGTGCTCCTGTGGGGATCCCAGCGCTCCTGTGGGGGTCCCAGCGACCCTATGGGGGTCCCAGCACCCCCGTGGGGGTCCCAGTGCCCCCTTGGGGGTCCCCACCTCGCTGATGATGCTGTCGAACTCCTGCTCCATCTGGTTCTTCACCTCTTCCTTCAGCCTCGCCACCTGCTCCCGTGGCAGCAGCTCCAGCCCTGCCAGCAGCGGCCCTGCCTCCTCCTCCTCATCTTCCTCACCCTCCTCCTCGTCCTCCTCCATCCCCGTGGGGGGGGTCTCGGGGCCAGGCCGGGCCTCGGGGCCGGGGGGCTCTGCGGGGCCAGGAGGGGCTGGGGGAGCTTTGGCTGCTGCCTCCTCCTCCTCCTCGCTCGCCTTCTCCTTGGCCTGAAGCAGTGGGAAGCGGCTCAGGGGGAAACTGAGGCACGCAGAGGCCCCCGAGGGGCACGGGGGAGGTGCCCACCTTCCTGGTGGTCTCCTTCAGCTCCTCGATGAACTGCAGCAGGTCCCCGGGGCTCCGGATCACCTTGAAGTGGATTTTCTTCCGTGGATCTACGAGGGAAGGCGGAGCAGGGGGCTGGGAGTGGCAGGGGGGACACGGGGATGGCCCCTGTCACCTGGAGGGGACACGGGGTGGGCACTCAGACTCACCAGCTGCCCGGCCACCAGCTGCCCTCGGGGACGGCTCCTGCAGGGAGGAGATGGGATGGAGCAGACTCTAACCCCCCCCAAAGTGACCCCAACCCACCCCAGGACCCCCAGAATGTCCCCAGGGCCGCTGGGACTCACCCTGGCGCCGTCCCGCTGGTCACTGGCTGTGGCTGGCACCTCCTGCTCCCCAGCTGGCACGTCCCTGGCTGGCTCTGGCCGGGTCCCTGGCACGGGGGGGACACAGCTGGCACAGGGGGACACGCCTGGCACTGAGAGCCAGGCCGGGGGTGCCAGGAGGAGAGGGGACGCTGGCGGTGAGTGGGGACAGGGCCGTACCATCCTGGGTGCCCGCAGCGCCCTGGGAGGGGCCCTCGCTGTCCCTGTCGCTCCAGAGCCGCGTGTCCAGCGTCCGCAGCTCCTCCGAGATCTCCTCCACCTTCCTCTTGGTGTCAGCTGGGGACACAGGGGACAGGGCCAGCACAGCTGGGGGACAGGGCCAGCACAGCTGGGG